AAAAAAAAAAAAACACTCTTCAATTGTTTCCTTCCAGCAACTCTCCAATCCCCGCCCTTGCCAAAAAAAAGAGAAGAACACTCGCTTCCATCTCTTTACACCTCATTTCTTGGTCAAGACTTATTCGGACACGATAAAAAGTCACGTGCACATCTATACTCGAAGCAAAGCTATCACCAACGAGACAATAACTTTCTTTCTTCTTCTTCTTCCAACCAATAAATCGACAAACTTTCAAAAACAAAACAAATGTACACCGGTCTCTTGTCGGTGACCATTTCGCAGTTTCCGACGACGAGCAGTTCTCACAAGGACTCGCTTCGTGAAGCTACAAAAACTTTCTCGGCAAATGGATAATTGTGAGACCAACATCAATTATGGTTCAAAAAGGAGTGCGAGTTTCCATTTGAGGCGCAAGAAATCATCCAGGCTTTCGGTCAAATATCTGAAATACATCTTTCCTATACTGTACATTGAACGAAGAGGGAGAAAACGGGACATTTCCCGAGTGTGTCGAGGTGAGAACGCAATCTCGAAGGAGAGGCAAAATGGGCACGTTTTGAGAGCGGATAAAAATTTGGAAACGGATAAAGTTTTGGTTATACGGTTTCATATCGACAAACAAACAAACAAACAAACAAAAAAACACTTAAGGAGGATCTGAACGGGAGCGATTAAAAAAAGACCCACTCCCCGAATTTCTTTCCTCTCTCTCTCTCATTTCCTCTTCTTCCTCCTCCTCTCAAATCTTCACCGTCGAAATTCGGTTACGGAGGCCGATACAATTTTAAAACAGGGTTCTCGCTCAAGAGCATTAAATTCATTTTTTCTTTCTTTCTTTTCCTTTTTTCCCTCTCGCTCTCGGAAAATCGGTGGCACGACGGGGTTACGTGCTTCGCTGCGGCGGCGGCGAGGATCCACAACGCGCGAAAGCGTGTGGTTCCGCAGGCTGGCAGTTGAGGAAGTCCCAGATCAGGATCGTGTCGTCGTGCGAGCTGCTCACGATCTGAAACTCGTCGAACTGCAACCGAAAAACTCGGCCAGTATGTTCCTATAGAGAGACAAAAACACAATGAATTACCCCACATCGAAAAAAAATAACATCCAATCCAGAAATGATTAATATGATGAAAACACTTGATTGCCGTACACAGACGTACTCTCTACAACGAAATTCAAGGGAGCAGAAAAATCGAAAATTTCGCTGCAGAGAACCCATACAACAGGGAGAAAGAACCCCACGGGACCGAAATAAAGTTTGTTATACAGAGAAAATCGTTGTACAGAGAGTCAGTCAGTCTATACAATATTACCCCCGAGATTTTTCAGGGGCACAATGAAAATTTCATTTAAATGCGAATACAGTTGAACTTCGATAACTCGAACCTCTGTATGTCGAATACCTCCCTATGTAATGTCGAAACGTTTTCAAGTCCCTGTCCGAATTTCTTCAGAAACAATGAATAAAATACTCCTTAACTGGAAGGCGTTTCCCCCCTCAAACCTCCATAAGACTAATTTTCTGTAGGACTTTTCGCTATTACAGTACTTCATTGACTCAAGAAAGATGAAAGAAATGAAAATTTAACTTCTTACGTTTTTAAATCAAGTGGAAGACGAATTGGGGAAAATGAACCCTTGATTTCAACTTCAGCATCCAGTCAGCTCATTTAAGAAGCAATATTATGGCCCAGAATATCCCCAATTACAATGTCTCGCAATTCTTCATATTTAATAACAGAAAAAAAACAACTGTTTCCTTGACTCGAATTTTTTCGTTGGTTCCTCGAAGTTTGACTCGGAGGGGTTCGACTGTATCATCCTTTCAAGAAACCTAACACTTTCGACCGAAGTTCGGCTTTCCCCCAGAAAAGGAAAAATGGTGTCACATAATCTTTACTCTTCGCCTTCAGTCAATGACTCCTGAATTCAAGTGCCAAAGGCTGACCATATATTGATTTCAAAATTTCAATTCCAAAAGAACTGAAGGAAAGAAGCGCTGGATCATTTTGCAAACAGGCGGATTTCCTGATATAGACGCATAATTACGCAAATTTCATAAATATTGCGAGCGCATGGAAGTATTGTCGGAATAATTTCCTGTGCTCGCTTCTCTCAATTTCCGCACAATAAATTTTGACACGCAAGGTATCACGCATTCGCACAGCAGTTTCACAATACCTCAAAAATTGATCCGAACTACATC